AACATACGCCGCCCGCCTTGAAAGAATCAGCTTTCAACATTAGAGGTGAGGCCCCTCGAACAATGCACAGAGTGGGAACTATGACTAATCATCACAACGCAATTAACAAAATAACATGAGTGACTAACATAAAAGGAAATAATCGAGAGCGAAGCCAAGATAAAGTAATACTGACTTAGAGACTAATGACAAGTTATCTTAAGCTTAACATTGCACGAAACAGCTGTGCTACTGAATACAAGTTTAATCTAAGTGCTTAACCTAAATGACAAAGGAACGCGAGTTACAAGAAAGAACTTATATAATATGTAATCGTACATCACTGGTGAATTGGTAATATAGCCAATTTGGTTATTGGCCGTACAAGATTTCCCTTGTTAGTTTTTACAACAGCAGAACGAGAAATACCGTCGGAATCGGGATGAACTTCCTGAATCCGACCCACTAACCATTGTAAGGGCGCCAAGCCCTGTTGTTTAATTATTACGAGTTGTCCTGGCTCCAGTGCTGCTCCTAGATTCTTCTTCCATTTGGTGCGCTCCTGGAGGGAGTTCAAGTACTCAATGCTCCATCTTTTCCAGAAGTGCTGCTTGAGCTGTTGGACTAATTGCCAGCGCGTTAATCTATTCTCGCTTACATCTATTAGGTCAGGAGAAGGGATACTGTTGAGCGGTGCACCGACTAGAAAGTGACCCGGCGTGAGTGGAGTTAGATCATTGGGGTCATTACTTAATTGAGTGAGAGGTCGAGAGTTCAAAGTAGCTTCTATCTCGCAAAGTACTGTTGTCATTTCCTCAAATGTTAAATGAGCTTGGCCAACGATACGCGACAGGTGATACTTAGCGGATTTTACGGCCGCCTCCCACAATCCCCCGAAATGGGGCGCGTTAGGTGGTATAAAGGACCATGACGTTTCTTGATCGCGAAGGAAATTTTTAACGCTTTCCTGAGTTTGTTCTCCGGCGACAAGATCATAGAGTTCCTTTATTTGCTTATTTGCACCGACAAAATTTGTTCCGTTATCGGAGTACATACACACCGGCTTCCCTCTTCGCGCTATGAATCTTCGTAGCGTGGCTAAAAAGGCCTCCGACGTGAGGTCGCTTACTAATTCTATGTGGACTGCTTTCGTGGCGAAGCAGACGAATATTGAGATATAGGCTTTGTGAATACGGGCATTACGGCGCTTGCCTTCCTTCAAGCTCACCGGACCGGCGTAATCGACGCCGCAATGCGAAAACGGTTTGGAGGCTGTAACGCGACCGCTGGGTAATGATCCCATAATTGCTTCCGAATGTACTGGTTTGGATTTGAAACACGTTACGCAATTTCTCGTGACTTTCCGCGTAGTGGAGCGTAAGGATAGAGGCCAAAATTGCTGCCTCACGAAGGCCATAGTGGCTTGAGTTCCCGCATGTTTGTTACGTATATGTTCGCGTTGAATTATGCGTTTTGTTAGCTCGTGCTTGGCTGGGAGGAGGATGGGATGGCGCGCCTCGGCGTTTAGTTCCGAATTTTTTAGTCTTCCGCCTACCCGTATCAGTCCGTCCTCGTCTAGAAAGGGGGACATGGTAAGGATTTTACTTGATGTGTTGATCGGGGCGCCTTTGCTCAGACTTCGATATTCTTCGACGAAGGTGTGTTTTTGGATCGTTCTGCAAGCTATCCTTAATGCGTGCGACATCTCGTTAGGAGAAATGAAGGTAGATGGGGTAACCGAACCAGTTAAACGTGATTTTTTACAAATTCTGAAACAAAAGGCTAATATACGACATACTTTATCCAAACTGGAATATTTGGACATTAAGTCGTCGACTATTGAAGGTTGTAGAATGGCTGTGGTTGCCAGTGTTGCTCGCCTTTCTGGAAGCTCGTCTTCTAAGTGAGGGAGCTCGCCAATTGGCCAGTGGCTCTCGCTGCGTTGCAGGAACGCAGGCCCCTGCCACCACAAGGTTGCTCTTGGCAACATTCCTGGGTCGATCCCGCGTGATAGAATGTCGGCAGGATTGTCGGGAGAAGGAACGTGTCGCCAACTTTCGGGACTCGTTAGGCGCTGCACCTCGCCAACCCTGTTTGAAACGAAGACAGACCACCGGCGTGAGGGTGACGCTATCCAGTTTAGGGCGATTGTAGAGTCGGACCATAAGAATACCCGGCTTTTT